TGGCACCAGGTGCCTGAAGAGTGGGAAAATTAATAGAAACCTAGGTGTCCACATTTAATCAGATGAACCCCATCCACATGGACTGCATGGAAAAAAAAAAAAAAAAATGTTTTTAGCCACAAGTTTTAAATCCACATGGAAAAGACTTGGTATATGGAGCTCTTCCTGGCTCTGCATTTCATGTAAAAAATGCATCTGCTAAAGAAGTTAAGAAAATTTTCTTCAATAAGAAAAAAAATATTTGAAAAAGAAACTCAGAAAGCAAGTGAGATCCATCTCCTTGCCTTGGCAGAAAGGTGGATAATGAGGAAGCATAACAGCTCTTTTACCTCTTTCCACTGCTGCCTGGCCTTATTCCCAGGCAAAAGGAGGCATAGAACACACGTGCTCCTCAACAATACGGGTTGGTTACTTTACAGTGCAAGTACACTTGCAGCAGAATCCACACCAGCATAATCCCTAAGAAGGGCTGAAGAAACAGCAAAGCTGGTTTGCACAGATCGCTCATAATTGTAATGTGTATCTCAGAACATATAACAGGCTTATCTTTACAGCATTTTCATGAGATAGGATAACTCCATGTTTTCCTGTCCCTTTCATTAGACTCATCTATTGCTGCAAACTTGTCAGAGATGCCAGTACAAGCTCTGAAAACAGGAACACTCCTCGTCTTCAGAAAACTGCTTGAACACTTGAACTGTTCAGGAGAGGACCTGAGAACAAACTGATGCTTTAAAGAAAAATAAAAATAAAATAAAATAAAGGACACAAAACCAATACACTAAATTACATAGTATTCCTTTATGTTATGGAATATGTCGTTCTACCTAAATAAATAAAATATTTTTTAAAATCTTCGCATTTTGCATTCATTCTAATATTCTTTTAGTTTTAAAATTGGGGAAAACCCTCTTTGTTCAGAATTCAGCATGAGCAGCATGAAAGATTCATGATGAATCAGACAAGGTAAAAAAAAAAAGACATATTAGGTTAAGTAACTGTTTTGCAGACTGATGGATTTATGAATTCCAGCAGAAGAGGGACTGATCTACGTCTTTCTCAATTTTAGCAAGCATTAAAAGTTAGAGCTGTGATCATACTGATTGGAACAGCAGGTTTAAAATATTTCAGTGTCAATTTCAATATGATAATTGGTAGTAAAGCTAAATAAATAGGTTATTATATTCACCTAAACCCAGAGCCTGAGGTACTAAAAAGTACTCACAAACTAGCCAAGAAAGGGAGGGAACAATGAAAGATTTCTCCTCTAATATTTCTGTTTGTACACTGATTTGCCCAGCCTCTATCACTCAAGACTGACAGACAACTCCATCATCAGATAGCTGGTAGATGCTGTCCCTTTTTATATGGGTTTTGGCCAAATTTGAAAGCAACACTAAGAGCAGTCTGCAGGCAGCTGAAATAGAGGCACAGTTTTACTTCAGATCTGAGAAGTGTAAACTCAGCGGGACGACAGAAACATCACAAACTGGCAGAACAAAAATGATTCATCTTTGCTGTTGCTCATAGGAATTTACTGAGGTAAACCAGCTACTTGGTCTTCTCCTGAATGAACAAAAACCTGCTGAAAAGCACAAGGAAATAGCCAGAAACAGCCAGAAATCCAATTTAGTAGTGAAGAACAATAGAAATCTTTTTATTAGTTTACCCTAATAGCCATGAATACAGGATTTCCTGTAATAAGAAACTACTAGTCAGTATTTAAGAAAACCTACTAAAAAAGTGATGGAGAAACTAATATATATGGAATATTTAAAGAGAATTAAAAACATAACTAGTGCTATGCCTTATCCCTCTTACTGGAAGATACTGACACTGTAAGATAAGGGAAAGGTATTTTAATTTGGCTCCCTATAAAGACTGTCACAAGGTCAAACATAAAAAGGACCATGTCAGAGACAGCACAAATTGAATTAATTAAACTCTTCTCAAATTCTGATGTCCCATGATTTAGAAACTCCAGAAAGAAGGAGATTGGTTTATTTTTTGCATACTTTACAAAATCCTTCTTTTCTCTATTACGTTTTTCAGCTAGATACAGAAATCAATCATCCTGCAAGAAGAGGCAAAGCCTTGTGGAAAAGAAACCACAACTTAAAAGAAATAAAATATAACTTCAGAATTAACAGATATATAGCTACATATATGTCTGCAATCAGCCCAATTTTCAATACATATTAACAAAATCAAATTACATTAGAAGCTTTCCTTATCACATATGGTAAATTTTGAATTTTGTGACTGAAGATTTTCAGCATTTTAGTATTAACAGAATACAATTTCAGTTCCAAACTACAATGATTTCTTGTCCTATCTATTTCTATTGCAGAACACATGATCTGCATTTCAAATCCATAGGATTTGATTTTTCTGCCCGTATATTTCAATGCAAGTATTTCAGTCTTACAAGCAAAACAACACAATTCTGTTATACAGAAGGTAAATAAGAATAGTCGAAGAATCTTTCCGAGTCTTAGGTTACATTTCTTATTATAGAAGCAGGCAGTCATATCATAAACTGATCATGACACATTTTAAATGCTGTTAGGGGTTTTAGTTTGAGAATTTTTGCCTTTACCGCTTCGACTGGTAGTTTGTTCCAGAAACTACCATTTTGGTAGTTAAACATCTTCCAATACCCAGCATCAATTTGTTCATTGCCAGATTACACTGCCTCATGCCCACTGTTCTCCCATAATCCAGTTGAAACCAATGAGATTAGCCAAACAGATAAAGCAAATTGGAAATTCATGCATTACAATATTTTTTTAAAATCTGTTTTTAAACTCCATTATTAGATATTTCCTTATTTCCCAGGCACTGAAGACCAATTCAAATTGGTGAATGGATTTGTGCCAAAACACAAGAATAAAGACCTAATATGTAATGCTGTGAGGATGATAACATTGCAAATACAGTCTTGCAAAAATGAAGAAAAAAAAAAAAAAGCAATGTTTTTTCTAAAAGTACCATGCCTGTTAACAAAAGATAATAATACCAAGGACTCTGACACACATTTCTTACATCCACATAAGATGTGTTTTACAGAATTATGGCTAGAAGGGGCCATTAAACGATTTGTGTAACAGTGTATGCAGATAAAACACCTGCATATCCAAAATCATAAATTTACCTAATTACTGCTGCATTAAGCACATCAGTTGCATATGACTAAAACACACCTTGAAGAGAGACGCATTCTTGATCAGAAATGCCAGGAAATGGGGAATCTAGCACTGATCTTACATGTTTGCCCCAGTAGTTAAACTAAAAAAAAAATGTTAATGTTATTTTTAAGTACCTCACCTCAATTTACTATCTAAAAATAAAAGTACTAAGTTTCCATAGTTTAACTTCAATTTCCAGGTGATTCTCAGTTTTAATTCCTCCAGAGGTAAAATGCTCTGACTATTGTTTATTTTCTGCCTGTGTTTCAACTTCAGAAACTCACTGCTCCACTGCTTACATATCTAAGATCACTTACACACTTTTCACTGGACTTTCATGTAAAAAGAAAAAACCCTAAAAAAACAACACCAACTTTAATCCAGTGCAAAGTGTAGTTTCTCTTTCAAGTCACTTATTCAAGATCTTTATGCTCTGATGTGTATTCATTCTTCTTAGAGGTATCATATTTGGTTGCACTACAATGCATTTTGTTTTAATCAATTCAGCTAACAGATCACTGTGTTGCACAGTATGACATAACTGTTATCTAATATTTCACCAGTCTTTATTCATTCTGCTCCCCAAAACTGATTAATCATTTATGAAAAGTGCAATCGTCATCTGGGTTTTTGAACCAGATTCTTAGTCAGGCTGAGTTAGACTGTCTTTAAGAACATAGGCTGCTGTTCACAGCAACATGTTATATTGTGCAAATAAGGCTGGTAGAGTCTGGCCCTCAATAGGATAAGAATAACTTGCTTTTACTTTTTCAGAGTCATTCAATTTCTAGCAAACTCACTTGTATCTCTCAAATTATGAGGTACAGTCAGAGTTTAGGAAGAAAAAAATATATGTTTGCTTTGATTCAGTAAGTCTCAGTATAATAAGCTGATGCTAAACTATGCTATTAACACTGCACAAACATTAACAGTGTGGGTGCTGGTGTGTTTGGCTATATTTTCTTGGAAGCCACAGCTCTATGACTTTCTACCACTTACTTCAGAAATTACATAAATGGTTTCACAACAGACAATAAATATTTAAATCAAGAATAATTATTCTACCTGCTTCAAAGATACTTTAATCTTTCTATTCCATTAAAAACAAAACAAAACAAAAACATGAAAAAATAAAACACACACATACAAAAAAACATAACCACCTTCTATTGAGGAATAAAAATACCAAAAATCTTAAAATCTCATGTTTTCAGATGCAACATGCCAGATTTATGACTTAATATGTATACGCTTAATATGTACATAGATCTTTAGGATAGCTCAGGAAAGTGGTTACTGGCTGAAATACTGTCACTGAGTCAGTTTGATTAGGAAGGATATTGCACTCTGAACTACTTCCTATACAAGCCACTTCTCACACTGCAAAGGAAGCCAGAGAAAAATACTCTTACTACAAGCTAAGAGCTAAACAAACAACCACACACACCCAGAAATGTGTGATGGTGGAAGTATTAGTATACTTTCGACAGTATTTCTAATATATTACAACAGGGAGGTTTTTTGCCATTCTTTAATAAATTACGATTTCATGTTTTCCCAGGAAACATACTCCTTATCTAATTTGTTTCTCACTTATGTGCAGTTTTCAAAATTTAGAGCTTACAGCCATAGTCAGCTGCAAATTACAGTTTTGTTTTATTCTGTGTTATTTTTTACGGGCTAGATATCACGGATGATTCAATTAAATCACATGGTCTCTTGCACAAAAATAAGAAATTACGGCATACAGTTTCACACATTCTAATTTCCTCAGTTCATCTGCTTAAAGAAAAAACAATCTGTAGCATTTACCTGTAGAAGGCTGGAGGAGCAGCTTCCCTCATCCCAAAGCTGCCCTGTTCGTTCTCAAGGTAATAGGGTACCTGTTGGCTGTGATGATGGATGAAGGGTGAGAGCTGGGGTGCTGTTTGCAAGAACACCACTGGACTTGGTGGGACATTGTTCAGTGAATGAAATCCTGCCAGACTGCTGGACCCGAAAGATTCAGAAGTAGGGGCATAACTGAGAGTAGTAGAGCTGTACACTGGAGCTGTAGTGCCAAAATCGTAAGTGGCCCCTTCTGGGTAGTTAAAAACTCCTGTCTTGTTGCTCTCCACGTACATGTCGCTGAGCGATCTTTCCAGGGGAATCTTCAGCTGAGGTCTGCTCAGTGTCTCCAGTTCAGTGCCTTGAATCTGGTGAAGCAGGCTAACTCCAGAGGTTTTGGTGTGAAGGGTCATGGTCAGTGCTAATGGCAGTGAGCAAGGAACATATCTGCTTTTACTGTCAACAGCGAAATCGGCAGCTGGCAGTCCACCTAAAAAAATACCAGAACCTGTTCTGAGCCTCAGTAGAAATCATAATAAAGCAGCACTAGACAGGTATCCCTCTAATCTCAGCAAGGAGGAGGATACAAACAAATGCAGAGTGAGCACTGAAAACGCGCATTCTCTCTCTCCCTCCCTCTCTCTCCCTAACTTTTAGGAGCTCCTCATCTGCACTAATATGCATTACAAGGTGCTGGCCGCGAGCCAGGAACTCTTGCCTTGTGCTGATGCTGGTTTAAACACCACTTCAGAAACAATTAGTTTTGGAGTTATACCAAATAATTGTACAACTAAATGTTCCTTAATTCCTACTAGTCCTTTCATTTTTTATTACTTCGGGGTAGCCAGCACTCCACAGCAACTAACGGGAGAGAACACTGAAATCCTACCAGGAAGAGCAGTCCAGTGGTCAGGCAGATTACTGCCTTTTATTTCCTCAACAGGCTCCAATCTATCTGTGCTTATCTCTCCCCTGTTTGATTCATTTTCATGTTTGCTAGAAATATGTAATGTGTACATTGTTACGACCCTGGGTAGGACTATGCTGTAACTGAGATAGAGCAAAGTAGAATGTGTGTGAGCAAGAGCGTGCGCCTCTGTGCATGTCTGTGTGTGTGTAACAAGCCCTACTCAATAAAACTAGCCGGCAAAATTAAAGTAGGTATGATATCTATGTAGAAGAAAAAGTTTATAGTACACTTTCATCAACAATAGCAAGTTGAAGTTACTAGAGTGCAAAAGTAATATTAAAAAGCAAGGAAAAGCTTTAGATTAGCCTAGAAGTGTCTGTCTGCTTCTTTTTAGACTGCAAAATGATGAAACAAAGCATCATTCAGATTTTACCATAGGAAGACCCTAAATGATATTAAAATATATCTTATTGCATGGCACATGATTTGAATACGGGAAATTCTTTTTCTTAGTCCTGAGAACAGAAGCTCAGCAAACCTGAGTTCTTGAATGAGACTAGAAAATCAATTAATATAAAATAATCAACTTAGTTCAGCTTTTAAATAAACTGAAATGCCTCTCAAGGTTATATTTAGAAGAAAAAAAAAAAAAGAGGCAGAAGAGAAAGAACATAATGAAAAGGTATGGCATGCATGCTTCATCTTGCAAACTCATTTGATATAATTTTAACTTTACACAGAACAATTCTCCTTAACCAGCTAAATTAAAACCTCCAGAAACTGTTTCAAGCTCTCCAGCTTTATTGCTGTGGTCTGTGGTTCAGTCAGTGAAATAAGTTAATGCCAACTCTGAAGGCATTAATATATGGGCTCCAGTTAGTGTGCTTTGAATACTAGCAAAGTCTCTGCTATACTTAAACAATTCCACAGTTATTCAGCTTCCCCTTAAAAAAAAAGAAACTGAAAACCTGAATATGCAAGTCACTAATAACTTAAAGGAAAGTTTACTGAAATTGTTTTAATTTAGTAATAATAGTGTGCTTTTAGTACTTCTACTAAAATAACCAAAGTTATTTGTATTTGCAAGATTATTCTGAAGCAATATGCATTTGTACTTCCACAGGCACACAGCTAAGACAGCAATACACACATAAATAGGTACTTAACAGATTTCCTCACCCACCCAGCCACCCTCCCTACACTGTTCAAATTTCAGATTGTAGACTTTGATCAAAGAGATAAGTTTGTTTAAATTACGCTGGACTGAACATGTCTCCAGTTAAAAAAAAATAATAATCAGACAATCATACCCAGCAGTTCAGAATGTCTTCGAAGAGTTATTCTGAAAATCTGCCAGACAGTGTGAGAGAAAAAATAGAGAGTGTGTGCATGTTTGCATAGAGGGGGCAAATGTGCATCTGCAGAGACTCAGAAAACTGCAAGCAAGCGTAGCTCTCAGCAGCCAGTCTTCTGGGCTATACAGACTGAAATGAATGGCAGTTACAAGTTTAAGGTCAGTCAATCAGAGATTTCATTTTGTGCTTCAGTAATACACAGAAAAAGCATTATCTTGAATTAAACTGCACAATCTGAGATCTAATGTGAATCTGCCTGCCATAAGAAGTACCCACTTGTATTGTGTGATACAAAGTAGACTTTTTTTTTTTTAATTTAAAGCATTATCCAACATGTATCCTATTTTAGAATTACTGTATATTGACATGCAATCCAATGTTCCAGCATAATAGCTGTGCAGAAGACAGAAGATACAAGTGTGAACATAGCTGATTTCTGTGTGTGTGCAACCTCAGGGCTCCTTACATACAGTTTTTAAAAACCTCATTAATAATTTTGTGAGCATTATCTGTTTTCAGGAAGACAAATATTTAAAATTTCCACTATATGCATGCAGCATTAAAATGCACTATAGGATTAAGTAAAATCACCATCACTTCTTCTCCATACCATTTAAACTAGGGACCCTATGAGTAGCTTTCCACAAGACAGGCTGTGAAGTTACTGTCCTGTGCCCTAAAAGAGCTTAGCAATAGATAGCTACAGTATCCCTTCAGCACACATACTCACCCTGCTTTACAGATGGCATTAGATGCATCCACTTATGGGCTTGCCTCCCAGAAAAATAAGACCGAAGTGTATAAAAGCTGTTCTTTTTCTTAAAGGCCAGGACTTACTCCACTATCCAGTTTAATCATTCTGATCTATTAGATGCCAGGTTTTATGTGTTTTGAGCACAATATGGATATATGTACAGGATATAGCAATAATATTTGGTCCTTTTTACCAATGGACACAAAAGCTATGCAAAAACTTAATTTCACTAAATCCTGTTCCATGTATGCCTTTAAAAATATGTAGATCTCACACACAAGGGCCTAACTCATTCACTGAGTTGTTTTTTTTTTAATTATATGTAGTAACAACAGGGAGTAAATAAAAACATTAATTGGCAGCAGTATCTTCATTTCCAATGCTAGACAGAAGTTTTTAAAAACTACTTAGTCAAAGGGAAATCTGCCTTTTCGGATTTGATGTTTTGTCCACTGTGTATTCAACTGCAACCAAGCTGCCCCATGTATTCCTCTTAACCGAATGATGGCCTAATAGGTTTTTGGAGTTACTGAGCACACAGTACAGGAAAAAGTCAGCTATCCCAGTCTTCCTCAGACACCCATGAAAAACAGAGGGAAACTGGTTCTACAAAATCTGAATATTTGCTGAATTTATATCAGAGATGTATTAGTTTTTTGCTATATTTCTGAAGTTTGGGAACACACAGATAAAATTAATGCTGGCTTTGATCCATCCAGATTTATGCATATACTGTGTGTATGCATACTTTTAAAATAGGGAAGAAAAAGTAAGGAAAGCAACAATAGCAATCAATAAATACTGAAGAAACAGGAGGGAACAGTCCACTGTGACTAAGGAGCACTACAGACATGTTGGCAAGGAAGGTCAAAGCAGAAATTGCTTCTTCACTTCTTCATACACAATGATTTTCAGTGAGACTAAGTCAAGAGTTTCTGAAACAATAGGGATTCAGACATGGAAATGAGAAATTAATTTATGAAATGAGTAGAAGTGACTGATTAAATCCTGTGTTCCCCTTTTTAAAATAACAGCCTTTCTATTTTCAGTTTCTAGATATGCCAGAGTTCCAGTGCCCAACTCAGATTTTCCAGGGAGGATTTTACTCTACATTACACTACAACCACATGTATTAACATTAAAAAATTAATCACATACCTGTGCCTCTATGGTTAAATTAGCATCATTTACAGCTGAAGAATATTTAGATATGTTTCTAAAGGCAAAGCCTGCTCATTTCAATTAATTGATGAACATGAACACTTCAAAAATGGAACATAGTTTAAATACATAAGTAAATAAAATTAAATTAAAAAATTAAGTAGCCTTTTTCCACTGATTGCAAATAATGTTACACCAGCCAAATGGACTCAGAAACAGAAAAAGGAGAGTTTGAAAAAATATAGAAAATATTACTTAAACTTATCTAAATAATCAAAAGAAGGTTTGGGAATTTCCAGTGGATCAGTAATTTTCTGCTAACTAGAAGTCCTGAAAGCCCGTCAGTAAATGGTAACAAAGCAAGTTCAGTTCACACAGATACAAAAAAAAAAAAAAAAAAAAAAAAAAAAGGAGAAAAGGAACAAGAAACAGCCTGAACAGATTCTTGATTCTGGACAAGATAAAATAGCAGCTTGAGGAAAAGGAGGTTAAAAACACTACACAAAGACTATTCAAATTGTAGGAATCTTTAAATATAGCAAAACTCCTCATGCTAAAACAGGCTTTTTTCACTGCTAGTTTTAGTAAGTATTCCAACAAAAAATGGTAAACTCAGAACTGAGAACGTATACTATAAATTTTCCATAAACCTGTTGACAGTGAGAGACCATAAACTTCATCGCTTTGGTTCCACAGCTATAAAGATAGAAGCTTTTTTTAGCTGCTGCAATTAAAGAAGAATCTATTGCACATAACAGGAGGAACATTATGTTTTTCCAAGATTCCACTGTAACATTACAGAGAAATTATGTTGTGTTTAGTCCAGTGAGGAAACTCCTCAAGATAGACAGCTGCAGAACAGCACCATCTACCCCACTGATTTATAAATCTTCCCTCAAAATAATAAAAAAATAAATTTAAAGCTCCTGATACCACTAGGCAAAGCAAGATGTATGCTAAAAAAATTCCTTAGGCTCCTATTAGAGATAAGTGCTTCAGCTTAAGTGTTTTGGGGAGTTTTTAACATTTAAATTTTTGTAAGTTGATTTAAAGATGCATTGCTTTCCCTGCAGCCACCCTCAAATAACTTACCAAAACCAGCCATGGTACCAAAAGGCTGTAACAAGATTTTTTCTTTCTATATTTATGTTTTAGGCTGATTTATTGTTAGAAGGGGAACTTCTGCTTTCACATGTCAAATCTAAGTAGTGAATTTGAGAACGTTTGCTCAAAATAGTTCTTATTCCAAACAGGGAACTGTGGAATACAATTATTCCCCATATACCTTTATTGATTTACAATATTTAAATTACCTTCACTTTTGCCTATACTTTGTGTGAAAGGATCTATTATATACTTTGAAATTATCTGTATAATCAAGACCAAAAAAAAGGCTGGGATGTCATAGCTGTTTGGTAAAATATTCTGATGCTT